TATGAATAAAAAAGCTAAGTTTAAATGTTTTATGACTATGATTACGTAGTATAAAGCATTATAATATTTTATTATATGCGTTAAAAGTGCATTTTATTTCTTAATACCTTTCTCTTCCATTTTGCTAACGTTCTTAAAGTTTTAGAATATATTTTAAAATTTTAGGCCATTGTTGCCTAAAATTATAAAGTTTCTATATGGATTGTTAAAAATTTTACATTGTAAAGATTTTTACAAATATTTGAAAGTCTCAACCCATTGTTGGCTATAAGTTTAACAATTGGGTTTCATCTTATTCATTTTATTGTTACGGGATTTGAATTGTGGCGCAAAAGATAAATAGAAAATGGTCTGTATTACCCCATAACATTACCTATGTTACCATAGGAATTGTTAGAGGTATGCTATGAAACAACCTACTACGGACAGTAAGATAAATTAAAATTTATCTCCCTCACTTAAACCAAACAAACTATACCATACCAAATGTACTCTACCCTTATAAACTCTATCATAACCTAACCAAACTTAATCTAAACTTACCCCACCTTACTTAACTAAATTTGGCTTAACCTACGTTACCCTACCCTAACTTAATCTAAACTAAATTTAGTTAACCTTGTTAAGCTAACCTTGTAGCCAATTTTTGCATTTGATTCGCAAGAGCCATTTTATTCAATTTTCCCATTGGATATAAGATATTGGGGCCATTTGAGCCAATGTCCCATTGGATTAGCATTGGATTTTGGGGCCATTTGAGTAAATTTCCCTATAGGATTATCATGGAGTATTAAGTCCATTTAAGCCAATTTCCCCATAGACTTAGCATTGGATTTTAAGGCTATTTGAACCAATGTCCCATAAGATTATCATTGGGTTATAATCTCATTTTATATAATATCCCCATAGACTTAACATGAGAAAATTAGCTAATTTAATGTCAGTTATGTGCACATAATATACACTATTGCACCATTTTTCAAAATCCCATAGACTTAACATGGGGTTTTTATGCACTTTGGTCGTACTTTTTCGACCACATGTTCCTCAATCTCCTTTTGTCGCTTAACGCTATGGGATTTTTGGTTCCGCAACCAACATCTTTTGACACACACGTCATGCACCATCATTATCCACCATTTCCACATAGGTTTAACATGGGCCTGAAAACTCAGCGTCATTACGTCATCGGAAACACTTTTGCCCACTTTTGCTGGGATTTTTGGTAGGAAAGACAAAGTCCTTAACGGCTAAACTGTCAAAAAATCCCATGTTAAGTCTATGATAAATGCAATTTGACCGTCATCAGCGTCATTAATGATGGGGTGAGGGAGGGGGGGCTGCAAAGTGATTCTATAATACGCTTTCATTCCTATACGGGAAAAGCGTATAAAAATAATTTAAGTTTCAAATTAATTAATATTTTTAATTAAATTAAGTATAAAGAAACCCTAAAACAAAAACATTCTATTTAATAATTAAAATGTTTTGAATATTTGATAAAGCATGTGAAATTATATAATCTATTCAACACTCGTCTACAACTTATAATTAGATATTTTAAAAAATATTTGTCTTAAAATCATTTAACTTTCTAGACCCCCATATCGAGCACCGTGAGATTGACATATTGTCTAAAATGGGCGATAAATACGTAGTTAAATACATTGATTCTTGGATGGAAAGTTCAAATATAGTAGGTGTCGGATCCCTACTTCATATTCAAATGGAATACTGCTCGTTCAACCTACGCGAATTAATAAATATGAAAATGACAAGCTTTAGATCCAATCCAAAAAAAGGAGTAGGCTGCGGGGTTGAATATTTTATAACGTATCATTTGTTCAAGGAAATATTAGAGACCGTCGAATACCTACACACACAAAAACCACCAATTATTCATCGCGATCTTAAACCAACAAACATTTTGATATTGTTCAATTCGGTTCACAAAAGGTGTGTGAAGCTTGGCGATTTTGGTTTGGCCACCTTACACGAGTCTGGCTCACAGCCTCAATCACATACTCAAGGTGCCGGAACAATAAAATACGCGGCACCAGAAGTATTACGTGGTCAGTCATATAACTTCAAAGCCGATATTTATAGTATTGGAACATTTGTGGGCGAATTGTTCAATTACAATGATTACGAGTAAGTTCAGTGCATTTAATGAGTATTTTGTCACGTAATTAACCATTACTTTTAAAATAGTTTTACGGTATATCCAGAATTATCAAATCTAGTGGGTGATATGTCGAATTTTAAGTATGATTTGAGACCTAGTTGCACCGATATTTTGGAAAAGATAAAAGATCCTCATATATTTTATGATATAAACCGTGTAAAATTTGAATGTATAGACAATACAAACGTTACGGACAATGATTTTTTAAATGTCTATTTTCAATGTAAATTTAATGAAAAATGAGTAATATACAAATATTTTATTTACAAATTAAAAAAATTACAGTCAATTTTAAAGTTATTTATTAAGGGAAATATAAAAAATATTGTACAGTAATAGAATTACAATATTAATTTAATAAAATATTTCTATTTTCATTAAATATTTAAATCGTATTTAAATTTATTAAGATAACAAATTATTTAAAATTAAAGTAGTTTTTATAATGCTTTTATTACAATTATTTTTAAATATATTTTTGCACTAATTGCAACAATATTAAATCTCTTATACAAAGTAGCCATTAAAATACTCTCCTACTTTGGTGTGATTTTATTTGAACACACTGTAATGTTTTTTAAATGATTATTTTTATAAAACAAAACCCTAATTATTTTTGTATAATTCATTAAAAGAATTAATTAAAAATATTACAGGGTGATCAAATAAAATAACTTCTAATTAAGCGAGTGCATTAATGTCTATTCTGTATTAAAGTTTTATATAAAGCATAAAATATAAATCATAATTCTAATCAATTTCAAGTGTTGCTTAGATAATAATGCACAGGTATTTTATTGCTATACTACATTCCTATGATAATAAATACGTTAAGACAATAAATAATTTTTGTGATACATTAATACTTGTGTTACTATTTTTAAAATTAACGTATTATTCATGTTCATACGTTGATTAATATATCAAATTGCATATTTATAATTTAAACTAAAATAAATAATAATAGCCAAAATATACCAATTTGTGAAAATAAAATTAACACAGATTTTGGTCAAAAATCAATAATTCGCTCAGGTACGTTTGGTTAGTATACAAAACACAGTCTACTCATGATAATGGCAAATATGCTATTAAGAAAATTATTATACAAGGTAATTTTTTATTTTAACTTTATTTACATCAATTAAGTTATCTAAGATTAAAAACAGTAGCAAGCATGCTTAGTTATATTATAATTTAATTTCAAAACCAAGTATAAAGAACAGGGATGTTTGTTGAGGAGTTGATTAACATTGATATTAATAAGTATGTTGTGAAATGTAGCTTGGTAGATTGCTTTGTTTATTTATTTCTGTATTTTTTAGGTCAACAGAATATCCCGGGTTAATCCTCTTAATGAACGAGATGTTAACATACTTGTATGATAAAAGACCTAGCTGCCACGATATATTGTAAAATATATAAACTAAAAATATAAATCAAAACAATAAAGTCTGTCTAACAAATTGATAGAATTTATATTGGTAAAATAAAAAATATAAAATAAATAAAATAATGTGTTTAATAATAATACCATTTTGTAAATTAATGTATTTTGTAAATTAACCTTTGTAGTATAGATGTTAAAAAACAAAAGCCATTTTCAATGATAACAATAATCTTTTGGCAATATAAATCGTATAAAAAACATTTACTGTTCTGGATCTATATGATCGTCTCCGTGCATAAAACGGTTATCTATTTTTTAATGCGAACTGTATACATAATCATTAAATTACTAGAATCGCATAATGTTTATTATTTTTACAAATGTAATGATTATGTTATGTATACAGATTGCATTGATTTGCATTGCATTGATGCGTACCGCAATATCTTACAATTATATTGCATGTAAAGTCCATATAAAAGCGTGTGTGCTATAGTCTACTAAGTCGCACTTAATTTAGTCAGTAATCAAAACCTAAAACATATAACAAAATATTAAATTATGAATAAAATATTTAATTTATTTAAATATATAATATAAAAGATAATTAAATTTATTTATTTAATCATAAATATCATTTATAGTTATAAAAAAATATAATTCTCCAATATTAACTTACTAATAAATTATTATAAATAATAATACAGTTTAACATTATATGGGACTTAGCAGGTTGTTGCATGTTGTGATTCATGTTTAAATATAAAATATGTTTATTACTTATTACTGTAAAACAATAAATGTTTTTATCTTTAAATTAAATGATTATGGCAGATTGAGGGAATATTTTATTACATATATTTCTGTTGATAAATCTATGTTTAACAAAATGTTTAATAGTTTGTATTATTTTTATATAATATTTTTATGTTGAAGATACCTTATTTAAGTAAAAAGAATTTTTATTTTTCCAAAAATAATGGACCTCGAGATAATTGAACGTGATAATAAGTTTGCTGATGAGTTTAATAAACTTAAACGTATTGGAGAAGGTGGCCGTGGAGTTGTTTACCATGTTGAAAGTAAAATCGATTCTAAATATAATACGCCATTAAGGAAATACCACTGAGAGGTAGTTTTAAGAAATTATTTACTATTTAATAATTTGTTTTGAAAATAAGTATTTTTTGATAATAAGTCAAATTAATAATCTGACTTATTTTTTTGTTATCAAATAAAACGCAAACTTTATTAGAAATGGATGTAGAGTGTAAACAAAATAGAGAAGTCATTATACTACAATCACTTGATAGTGATTATGTGGTGAAATATTACAGTTCATGGCGTGAGAAAGTTAAACCACTGGACAATCAAGGTAGAAAACGGAAAAAGAAAAGTAAACAACGGGACATGATCTACATACAAATGGAGTTATGTAGCTGGAATAACCAATTTTATAACCTTCACGATTTAATTACATTACTACAAAACGCCTTTAAACGCAAACAAGATGCTGAATTGTGTCCAGTTGAATATTTCATCGCGCACACTTTACTCGAAGAACTAGTCGTTTGTCTAAATGTCCTGCAATCCCATACCCCTCCCATCATACATCGGGATCTCAAACCGAAAAATATACTAGTTACTGGCAGCGGTAGTAATTGGCTTAAAATAGGTGATTTTGGTCTGGCTAAAATCCAAGAGGTTAGTTTTCAGTCTAATACTCAGAAAGCCGGTGCACTGGATTACAGGGCGGTGGAGGTTATTGAGGGTCGTCATTACGATGAAAAGTCTGATATTTATAGCCTTGGTCTAATAGCAATTGATTTGTTTAACATCGATATAAACCGGTTAGTATTCTAAATATTTATTAATTATAACTAATTTTGTAAGCTTTTTACTTTTGTAAAGATCATCATGTAAAATTACGGATGTAATATTGAGCATGTTAAATCCAAGGGCAAGTGATAGACCAGTGTGTGACAAGATTATTCATGAGATGAACTTGTCACAAATATGTTATAATTTGGACGAGGTCCGTGCTAATAAAGAAGGAGAAGTTTGTCTAAATCGCTATAAAATCTTAAGCGATTATTATAAAAGTAAATTACAGGCCAAATCGAATCCGCAATAACTTCAAAGAACTAACAGATTATGTTTTCTTTTTTGCTGAGGATTTCCTCTATTTCATTTCAATTTCCGTTTTTAATTCGTATAACGAATGTAATCAAAAACGTTAACTTCGTAATCAATAAATCGTAGAATATTATATTATTTTTATAAAAACGTTTATTTTATTTTTCAAAAGTTCCTTTTTTACATTTAATCACGATGTCAAAGTGAAATTATCATGTTTTTAAAATGAATTTTTATTGTTGTCATATTGATTTACAATGATTCTAATGACATATTATCATATAAGTATTATTATATTATTATTAATCTATTATTATAGATACATTAGAAAAACGCTATCAAATAAGGGCACTTAAAAAATTTATTTTAATTTGCTTCTCCACTTTGGGGGGAGCTTTACCCTGCACAACTCGGGGATCTCAACCTTGTTTGTGCCTCAACCTCAACAATCTCAACCTGCACTTAAAATTGTTTTTAAAATCAAAATTAAATGTAAAACAATTCCTTATGAATGGACACAATATTGAAGAGTCGGGGAATAATCTGTGGGTTAGGTAACCGGCCCGTAGGGCCGGTGCCCAAAAACGTGCGCACTTTTTGATATTTTTTCAAATGCTTTTATTTAATAGTTAACTCTCAAACTTAATACAATTAATAGTCACACAATAGAGAGACAAGGTTATGACAATAGTTAGGGTTGGTTTATATACCATAGACAGGCAAAGGTAATGTTACTTATGTTACGTATATTTCTAGGAATAGATGCAAGTGTGAGAACATTCCAAAGGTACTTGATGTAATTGTTACTCTAAAGTTATTTAACTTGACTTCAAATTACACATATTTGTATTTTATATTAATTGGTAACTAAATTGTTAATTTAATTTAATTCAGTAGAAATTCAACTTCTACAATATTTTAGTTTTTATAATACCTCTCAATATGGAATTAAATTAAAGCACATTTTAAACGAATTGAAATGTTTGATAAGTTTTATTTTAATTATTGTATTAATTTGTATAATTCTTTGCCAATGTATATAAGAAATGAATGTAATTATAATCGATATGTTAAGCATTTGTATGAATTTTTGTGATTACAACTCGTTATGTATTTCACTGCATTATTTTTGCTAAATAAAATATTATTATTATTATTATTATTAAATAGTTATAATTTATTAATTAAAACTATTTTTTTAAACAACTAACTAATTATAATTATGACTTGTATTTTATTTAAAATATTTTCATTAAAAATGTTTGGTGTTAACTTGAGACTCAACAAGATAACAGGCCTCTTTCAAATTCCGATATTTAAATTATTAATTACATTAATGATTGGTATAATAAAAAATTTGTGTATAAATATTGTTTTATTTGGGGGATGGCTCAAGCGTATGTACGCTAGGGGAGGGGAGTCAATTTTTGGTCACATTTTTGCTAATCTACTTTGTGCACGCCACCTTAAATAATTATAAATGTTTTAAAAATATAATTTTAAATTATATATAACAATTATTTATATTGTTTTTTATTATTTTAAATTTCTTGGTGATTACAATAAAAAATATGCAAAATTATGTAAAATTTTATTTTAAACATTAAATTCTTTAATTATATATTTTAATTTAATGTTAATAAAAAATTCCTGAAATAGCTACTAGCTCATTTTAAATTCTCTTTCAAATCGAATTAATTTTATCTTGAATAGTTTTTGCTGTACAACAATGATTATTTATTGGCATAAAAATAGTGTAGAGACATAATGTCTTCAAAAAATAATTGAAACCAAATTCTACAAATTTCATTCAAATGGATTAATTTTATCATGGTTGGTTTAGGAATAAATGAAGTTCACAAACACCAGTTTTGTATTACGCATTTTCAATTACCAAATTCAATGTATTTCAATGTAAAAATCTCTTATTGTAAATTTAAGTTGCGCAGTTACCATGGTAGATTTCTCATTAATAAGAAGTATTTATAGAAACCGGGAAGTATGAGCTATAAAACAGTGAAGAGAGGATTAGGATTGGATTATCCGTTTTCGAGTAATTTCGGAAAAAAGTTGTTACCTCCACCGGTGTATCAATATACTGAATTATTACTCAAAAATATAATACGTCAATATGATATAAGTATACTTATGTTAAAAATAACTACAGTACTATGAGTACAATACAATATGTTTGTTGATATATTTGTTGCTCTAATGTTCACACCTATTGATTTAACATAAAAAAGTACTGTATATCTTAAAAACATACTTCTGCAGCGACAAACACATAATCTGAAAACAATGTCTATTTTATATTTTAATCAAAAATCCATAGCAAACACTAGATAATAATTTTATTAAATACAAAAATCATATAATTATAACATACATAAAACTTTTATATTTATATTTATAAATTAGTGAATATTTTTAAAAAATATATTTACTATGAATATATAGTTTTAAAATAAAATAAATATGATGATTAAATGAATAATATGCATGTACAATGATTAAATGAAGAAACTCCTACAACTCAATATACAGTATAATTATTATACTGTATAATTCAATATGATTTCTGTAATCAATTTCAAGAGTTGCTTAGGTTTTAATGCATTTCAGATTCCAGAGATAAAAATAATTAAACAAAAAATTTTAGTAGACATTTTGATTCAACATTCAATTTTCAATATTTATAATGGAAAACAGCGAGAAACTACAGATTTATGAAAACAGATTCAGCAATGAATTCCATGTGATATCAATCATTGGTACTGGAGCATTTGGGCAAGTGTATAAAGTGCAAAAGCATCATGATAAAAAATTCTACGCAATTAGGAAAACGTATCTTCAAGGTACTTTTGAATTAAAATTATTAACTCATATTAAAAACAACGTTAGAATCATGAGGTGTCAATAAATTGTGCAAAGATTATGTATAATAACTAAGGTTGCATGGAGAATAATTTTCCATAAATTACAGAGTAAATTACGTATTTTGACGCGTAATTTACACTGTCAAAAATATTTTACGTAACATTCAATTACAGTAAAATTCATTTCAAGAAAGAATAAGTAATATTGTCTGTAATTTTGTTAAAAACGCCAATTGTTGTTAAATATTTGAAATAATGTTAAACAAAAGGACAATAAACGTATGGAAAAATGAATTACCATTCATTCTCTATATACTACAGTAGTTCAAACTCTAATGATATCTATTCAAATTTTTCAGATTTCGATCAGGAAAATGATAGTTAAATTGAAATTATAGTATAACTAATTATAACTCTGATTCTGATGTCGATTCCATTGATTCCATTTTAATAACAATTTTTGCTTAATTTTGGTTAATTACGGTAAAATGTAAAATTACATATTTTTACGTAAAATTACGCGTAAATTTACGCCAAAAATAAATTACGCGTAATTTTGCATGGTTAATAATAACACAATTAAAAATCAAGTTTTGAAAGGTTCTTCTGTATAATACATAGATTAACATTCATGGGCTACAGAGGCCAGTTACTAATAGTTATAACATTAGTAATTGCTGTAGATCATAAATTTTGTAATGTATGGTATAATACTTCACACTGTAATCAATTTAATATTGGGTTTATGCAATAAACATATTTCATTACATAATGAAAAACAAATCAGACACCATTTCATTTAAATTGTTTTTGTAATTAATAATTAATTTAAGAATACATAAAATAATTGATAAATATAAATATAAAATTTATTTTAATTAAAATATTATGAACATGTTAGTTTATTTAAATATTTTATTTTTCAGACCCAACAATTGAGAGTCGTCAATTTCGGGAATTTGATATACTATCCAAATTAAGCCCAAATTATGTGGTTCAATATTTAGACTTATGGCAAGAGTCATCGAAGGGAACTGACGGCCCGACATTAATCTATATGTGTATGGAGTTGTGCTCGTACAATTTACGACAATTGCTTGATTTGAAAAAGGACTGTTTCAAAACTAAGCCTAATAAGGGTGTAGATTCTGTGGGGTACTTTATATCATATCATTTGTTCAAGGAGATTGTGAAGGCCGTTGAATATTTGCATGCGTTGAAGATAATTCACAGAAATTTAAAACCAACAAACATTTTGGTCCACCTTGATGAAATAAATAACCGTTGTATTCAGGTAGGTGACTTTGGCTTAGCTACGGTACAGGAGTCGGCATCGCAATCGAAT